TAAAATATCAAAAATGTTTCAGACCCCCGTTTCTTCCCACCCCCTTTTACCCCCTCTCTCTCTCTCCTTGGTTACATTTTTTTTTCCTGCTTCTCCAATCACCACCCGCCACGTGTGTGTGGGGTGGTGGGGGTGGTGATTGGAGGGGGTCTCTTTCATGGCTCTTAAAATATATACAAAATTTTGGTGGCCCTTGAGAAACACTACATACACATACAAAATGTTAGTGGGCCAAAATAAGCCCCCTAATTTTTTTTTACCTTATTTCTTTATTAAATTTTAGTGGAATAAATAAATTTCTCTTAATTTTTTTTTAGAGATTTTTTATGAAAACCCCATTTTTTGGCCTTTTTTTTAGGATAAAGGACAACTCAATAAATTTCCTTTCAAAAAGCCCCCGAGTAGGAGAAGTGTGGCTCAATAAAGACATTCTACAATTTGTATTTTTTTTTAACCATATTGCTCTCCTATATATATACATATATATCATATATTTGTACAATCTCAGCTCATGTATACACTGATCTTGAAGATGATTTGCGAAATCAGTGAAGATGATTTGCAAAATCCATGAAGACAATCTCAAAATCTGAAGATCTTACTGTCCACGTTCTCGCATTTCAACAATACACGATCTTGCCATTGAAGATCAACACTCTCAATTAAATGAGATATTACGTTTCAAATCTGTACAAATTTGTATCAGATTTAGAGAGTCTCATCGAGATTTGTGAGTGTTGATGGAGTTTTAGAGGTTTTGCTACAATCATGTGTTTGATTATTGTTCGAATTCAATCAGGTATGTTGATTTGTTGATTAGCTTTTATTATTATTATTTCTTTTTTATTGTGTGTGCTCTGTTTTTGTTTAACAAAATGAGAGTAAAATTTTACTCTGATATGTGCTCTGTTTTTGTTTGAAAGAATGAAAATAAAATTTTATTCTAGTATGTGCTCTGATTTTGCTTGACAGAATGAGAGTAAAATTTTACTCTGGTATGTGCTATGTTTTTATTTGATAAAATGAGAGTAAAATTTTACTTTGACATGTGCTCTGCTTTTGTTTGATAAAATGTTACTATGTTTTGTTTAATAAAATGAGAATAAAATTTTACTTTGGTGTTATCTGTTCTTTTTTTTTTATTGTTTTTTTGATACAATGACAATAAAATTTTACTTTATTATTGTGTACTTCTATTATTTGTTTTTGGACTCCTAGCAACGAGTTCAAGCGATGAAACAGAGTGAGGGAGACAAACGGTTCCATCGTTTGATATTTGCCCATTTTATATAGAAGGGTATTTTAGTCTTTTTCACCATATTTTTTTTGTTTGAGGAACTTTTGGAACCATTATTTTATTCATTGGACTTCACACAAAAAAGTTCCAATGGGAGGGGTTTTTCACCAAAAATCCTTTTTATTTTTTTTACCTTCTTTGTTTATCAGATTTTAGTGGAATAAACAATTAATTCAATCTCAATCACACTCATACACAATATATTCAATAAACAACAATGCAACCACACTGATTAACAACATATTCAATACAAAACAATTAATTCAATACATATTTAATACATTTTAATTGAATAAAGTTTTCCTAATTTTGGTAACTTTTTTTTTTTTTTTTTGGGTATGAATACATTTTGATATCTATTTTTGTATCAATCAACGGTAGTGATACCAAACAGAGTGATTTTTTTTTCTTCTTTGTGAATATAGGCCTCTATTTTTGTTTCGCTTCACCGAAAACTCAGGACGAGCCCTAACCACAGGTGTTGAGACAAGGGTCAAACAGTACACAACAAAAATGTTTGGGAGCTTTAAACTATAAGCTCTAAAAGGTGGCCCCACTCATTGATGTGATGTTTTAGTCTTTTTTTTTTTTTTTTTAATTTCTACTTCATCAATGCTCAATTAAAACTTTGAAATTAAAATGATGAATCATTGTTGCAGTACATAGTAACGCGCATACGTACACATGCCTGCCACACACAATCTGCACACTTGTTTGTGCGTGCTGAGTAGTTTGGCTTGCACCAATACCTTTGTTGCACACACTACATCGTATTAACCCCATGTGTAATGAATTTAGGAAATATTTTGTTTTATAAAATAAAAAATTCAAATAAAAAGGTTTTAATTTGCGCTTGAATTAATAATTAACTTTGAAATTAATTTCTTTCTTTATAAATATAATAATTACTAGAGATGGCAATTTGAACCCGGCCCGACAGGGATCTGACTCCCTGACCTCGATTTGAGCAATTTTTCCCCTAAAAATATCCCCAACGGGAAGGGGATGGTATTCAAAAATTAATCCCCGGTCAATTTCGGGTTGTGGACCAGAATAAGTGTCCTAGCCCCAGCTCGTCCTCGTCCCCGTCCCCGTTTATCCCCAAAGTAAAATTACTCTTTTACCCCTCCATATATATATATATAAACCAAACCTATTTTTTAGTTTCACTTCTCTGTCTCTCTCTCTTTCACCGTGGCCCTTATCTCTCTCTCCCTCACTCACTAACTCAAATCTCAGTCTCATCTCTCTCTCCTTCCCTCTCCCTCTCCCTCTCCCTCCGTCCGTGAAGCCCTCCGTCCGTCAGACCGTGAAGCCCTCCGTCAGATCGTAAAGCACTCCATCTGAACAGATCTGAAGAAGTGAAGAAGCCCTCCGTCCGTGAAGCCCTTCGTCAGATCGTGAAGCCCTCCGTCTGAACAGATCTAAAGAAGTGAAGTCCTCCCTCCGTCCATGATGAACAAATTTTTTTTATGATTGTTGTGTATATATATATATATATATATCTGTTGTTGTTGATGATTAATTTTTTTTGATAATTGTTGTGTATATATATCTGTTGTTATTGATGATTGTTGTTGTCTGGGTGTGTTGAACAGATCTGTTCTGTCGTCCATTAGATAGATTTTTTTTTTTGGGTTCTTGTGTGTTGAACAGATCTGTTGGGGAATTTCGGGGTTGGGGAAACCCGATTCCCGTTAGGAGACGGGGTGGGGGAAGTGATGGGTTCCCTGTCGGGGATCGGGGACGGGGAGTGTCATCCCCGACCTCGTCCCACCCCGTTGCCATTCCTAATAATTACGTAACTAAAATATTAATGTTAACATGTCATTTGTGAAGTCATTTATGACGTAACCACCCACTGCCCCCTCTTTTCGTGTTCTGTGATTTCCGACTAGGATACAATGATTTCCAGTGACCCTCCGACAAGGCTTAAATACATTTCTTTTTACAACAATCATTCTTACCACTAAATTTTTTTTACTAATAGTACTAATGTATTGAGAATATCAACAAAAAAAAAAACAAAAAAAAAGCCCACTGCCACATCATTAGTGGTGCTATTAGAACAACACTTTTAATGTTCTCAACCATTTTTCATTATCCTATTTTATAGCATGTCTAGTCATATAAAAAAATTACCTGACATGTCTAACAACTATTTTTAATAAAAAAAACTAGCTTGCAAACATAAAATACATACGAAGGGGTGTTTTGGAAAGATGGTTAAAAACTGTTTTTTAGTTTTTTTTGACTTTTTTGTGAGAGATGAAAGAAGGTTAAAAGTTGAGAAGTGACTTTTAACCCACTTCTCAAAATAGGTCAAAAATAATGAGTATTGCTTTCAAATTTTTTTCATCAAATTAATTTTCGAACTGTTTTATAAAAATAAAATAAAATTAAAAACCTACCCCACACACAGTCAAAATTGATTATAAGTGACATTTAATAATTAATGGCAACTACTTTATTCTATGGCATGTCTTGTCACAAAAAAATATGTGGCACATCTAGCAAGTCTGGCCACAAAAACAAAGGCTATGTTTGGTTTGGTTTGGTTTTGAGAGAGTAGTTTTTAAAAATTATTTTGGGGAGAGAGTTTAAAAAAAAAATTGGTTTGTTTGGTTATGTATTTTGAAAGTAATTTTGAAGTTTGGGAGTTTAGAATGATTTGATATTTTGTTGTAATTGAGTAAATGTGTGTGAGAGAAAAAGTTATTGAGAAGGAGAGAGGAGAAAGAAATAGTGATTGATTGATGTGCAAGAGAGAGAAAGTGATTTTGAAAATTGTTTTGAAAAAATTACAAACCAAATAAATTTTTTGAAAAATTTTCCCAAAATCATTCTACAAAGCCAAACCAAATACACCCAAAAATTACGTGACACACCTAACAAGTCTGGCTATAAAAAAAAATTACATGACATGTTTAACAACTATTATTAACTAAATTTTTTTTTTTGGGTTCTGTTTAAGTGTGCAACCCCCTTAAGGTTGCACACCATATGCAACCCAATTGTTAGCCGTTAGATTACAATAATTGATCAAGACCATTGAATTGTTTAATTGTGAAAAAGTTGAAACCGGGGCAACCGGTTAATGCTTATATTTGCATGATTGCATCCCACTCACTCTCTGTATTTCATCCCCATCTCTCTCTGTTCTCCTCTCTGTGTAAGATTGGGTCAGTGTAACTGTTGATTTCCATTAACAGCGAGAAGCCCCTGTTGGGTTGGTTCCATTGACGAAGCTCTGTAGGGAACAATATAACGGGCGATTTCCAACAACAACGGAACTACAAGGCTGTGTTGGTAACTACAAGCCTGTGTTGGTTCCATTGCTGAAGTGAAACCCTTCCCTCTAACTAGATATGAGGTATGGAGCTGTCTCCCTTTCTGTCTCTCTGGCCTCTTCACTTCAGCTATTTTCCGTCAACTAAACCCCCCATCCTAACTTCAACCGCTCTACGCTTCGCTCAAACGGAAACCCTTCTATTGGCAACTAGCCTTTCTCTTTCTCAAGCGAGTGTTTGTGTTTGCACAAACAACTAAACCGTGTGAAAATGTCATGTTTGTGTTTGTGTTAACATTTTTCGGTTATCAAGTAATTGTTTGTACTAATGTCATGTGCAGTATGGCCTGAACGGAAGTTAAAAGGGAAGGTGATGATTATGACATTCTAAATGAAGCAGATGACATTCGTTTGATGAATGAAAGTCGGGTGGAACCTTATCATGGTTGCGACGCTGGTCCGAGCAATGAAGAAGCAACCAACATGAACGTTGAAGATGGCGGAGCCAATGTGAAAAAAGAAATGGTTGACGATGCTCATGGCAATGACATGGTTGGTGATGTTGAACGTGCTATTCTGGAACAGAAATTTGATTCGGTCGAAGATGGAGAAGCTTTCTACAATGCGTATGCTAAAGCCAAGGGATTTAGTATACGAAAATTCAGATTTAACACAAATAAAGAGGGAAAGGTCGTTAGTAGGCTGTGGTTGTGTTCAAGGGAAGGTCAGAGATTACCAATATACTTGGACCGTGTTACTGAGAAGAGTAGAGCTCCCAAGGCACTAACAAGAGTAGGTTGCAAAGCCCAATTTCGCATACGGTACGATGCAAATGCTGGTGAAGGGGGAAAGTATGTTGTGACTCACTTCGTCGCAGACCACAACCATGAATTGGCAGAACAACACTGTGTGATATATCTGAGGTCACATCGCAGTTTAAACACCGCCGACAAAGCTCAAGCAATGGCTATGCGCAACGTTGGTGTGAAGACTAGCCAAATCATGGACTATATGGTAAATCAATCCGGGTCTTATAAGAATGTTGGTTTCGTCCGTACGGATCTGCACAACCATATTCAAGCCGAACGTAGAGCAGAAGTTGAGGATGGTGATGAGCAGGGTGCGTTGGTTTACCTATGTGCAAAACTTGATGTTGATGCACGTTTTTTTTACAAGTATGATGTGTGTAATGATAACAAGTTACAAAATCTGTTCTGGGCAGATTCGAAATCGCAGGCCGACTACTCAAAGTTTGGTGATGTGTTGATATTTGACTCAACTTACAGAACCAATGCATACAAGAAGTCTTTTGTCATGTTGGCTGGTGTGACTAGCCACTTTAGGACCACGATATTTGCATGTGTTTTGCTAGCTAATGAGACAATTGAGGCATACACATGGGTTTTGAAAACATTTATGGAGGCGATGGGTAATAAAGCACTTGTGTCCGCACTGACAGATGGGGATAAGGCGATGCAAGAAGCAATCAGAAGAGTATTTCCAGACGCAAGACATCGATTATGTAATTGGCATCTTGGGCAAAAATGTTGTTTCAAATGTTCACATAAGTGGCTTTGCACATGTTTTCAAGCAGCGCATGGACATGGAAACGAATAAGACAAAGTTTGAGCATGGCTGGACGACAATGGTCAAAAAATTTGGACTTCAAACCAACAGTTGGGTGTTGGAGACATATGAGAAGCGTCATATGTGGGCTGAGGCATATATGCGTGGACATTTCTTTGCTGGGATGAAGAGCACTCAGCGCTCGGAGTGTATGAATGCTTATTTCAATCCCTTCCTCCAACACAAATTGAAGCTATATGAATTTGTTAGGCACTATGATCGGGCTCTTGCAAGGATAAGGTATAATGAGGCTGGAGATAATGCTGAAACAAATAACACTTTTCTGGTATTGATTACTCCATTGCGAGATATAGAGAGACATGGAGCTGAGCTATTCACTCGAAATATATTTAGAATGTTCCGTGATGAAATCTTAGAAATGGGGAAGTTGAATGTCAAAGACGTGTTCCCTTTGCCGAATGGTCAGAAATACTACTATATTCATAAATACAAAGTGAAGGACAGATCATGGATAGTAACACACAATCCAGTGGATGCTGCAATGAGATGTTCTTACATGAAGTTTGAGTCATTGGGGCTACCTTGCTGTCACATGATATGTGTTATGAAAGTCGAAAATTTAACGCAAATTCCCCCAACTTGTGTGCTGCATAGATGGACAAGGGCTGCAAGCAAGGATGGCCAGCAATGGCCTCAACCCTCAATTGATAGCACTACAACACAGACGACCCGGTATGGGATATTGAGTTCTTCCTACAACGAAATGTGTTTCTATGCCTCGCAATCAACGGAAGGTTTCAAAGAGGCTAGGGATGCATGTCTTCCGATGACGAGCCGGATGAAGGAGTTATATGAGAGGAAGCTGAACGATGGGAATGGAGACAAAGGGAAACATTCATTCCCTCGACAATTTGGAGTAAAAGATCCTGATGTTGTGAAGACAAAAGGGAACCCGGGACGGGCCTCGTCCAACTGTCAAAGACCAAGAAAATGTGGGAATTGCAAATGCATTGGGCACACAAGCGAACGTGTCCTAAGGTTCGGTTTAGCCGAACAGTGGGTACTAACTCAGATGTAGATACACCCCACATAATTGACCGTGAGTACAATACGGAGTCATTACCCGTTCGCTGCAAAACTGGGTTGGTGGATCCAAGTACACCGCACATTAAGCAACGGCGACTATTTTTCGATGTTTCTTCTGATTCCAAGCAGCTTGTGGGCCAATACGGTAGTGTTGAAGCAGCAGTGTGGAAAAATGATTCGAACACAATTGATGAGGTGAATCAGGTAATTGTATAATTTGTATGATTTACTTATTCCCTTAATTTATTAGGTAGACAGTACTAGCTATTGAAAACACATGGAAATAATGTAGGTAGTTTTAATTTTGCACGGATTGCTGTACGTAACGTGTAAATAATTGGTTATGTACAGTGCGAGGAAATGGCACAACGTTACTTATGTACAAGGCCAGGAGTTGTAAATTTCCCATATTGTTTAGAGTGATGTTGTCATTTGTGTTTGCAGTGACTTGTCATTTTCAAAACTAATTGAAGGTGAGGTGAGATATATATGGGCTGTCTGTGTGTTGTTTTGGGTGGGAAATTGGCTTATGTCTGTATTCCAAGATTCATATTGCCGGTTGCTTGTTTCGGTTCCATATTTGGTTGGATCTAACTGAAGGGTTTTTTGCGGTGTGGTTTATCAACTAACGATGTGTTTCGCTTCGTATTGATTTGTTATGACTTGTGTCGGTAAATTAGTATTATATTTCGAGTAAAATACGAATTTTGTCCAAGTGGGTTTGCAAAATTACATACCAGCACATGCATTTTGTATATAATCCAAGTGGCAGTTAATTTTGGGTGTTACTTGGAGAAAGTAACCCAACGAACTCGTTACTTTATCTCCATGCCGATTGGTATATGAATTACGAGTTACGAACAGGAGTTGTGAAATTATTTAATGTTTACTATGGAAGTTGTTAGTAAAATTATGGTGGGCCTATATCGACAGCAACGAAGCAGTAATTTAAAGTTGACAAGTTCAAGAAGAAATTCAAGCAATTGTGGTATTGGTTCAAATGCCTGAAATGGATGAAGACTTCTTTCGATGAACTGATGGTAACAAAGTAGAAAGTAACAAAGTAGAAAGTAGAAAGTAGAAAGTAGAAAGTAAGTTGTTGTGTTGTTGTGTTGTTTGTAACAGAGTAGAAAGTAGAAGGGAAAAAACTACACAGAAGTTACAATGTAGAAAGTAAGTTGTGTTGTTGTTCGTGTCCTCTCTCTCTCTGCAAACATTCTGCCCTTTATAGCTATAAAATTCCCACGACCCCATGATCTGCCAATTCTGCAACTGCTTCTGTGCAGCTTCTGTAACTGCACGGTCATTTCCGTGTATTGAAACCACATAAAAGCGAAACTTGTACCTGTCGAAGTGCATATAATTGAAGTTGCCACCTGTGCCCAGGTCGTTTTAGGCTTTCCTCGACAGATACAGACTCCCAATTCGTTCATGTTTCCTCTTGGAGGGTGGCCACTAAATCCATGAGCACTGCCAGTAACTGCTCCAGCATGTGAGTCAGGTGGCATGCAAGATTCAATGTTAGTTGAATGGAGCAGCTGTTGGGAGGATGTGGGAAAAATAGGTGCAAAGAGGAATTTTTAATCTAATATCCAATCAGAATGTAGGTGAAAATATGAGTGAACTTTTTAAAAAAGAAAAGTAGTTACCATTTTTTTGATTATAAACCCGAGATGTATATTTTGTTTTTGATAGAAATAAGTTGTGTATTTTCGTTATGTAAAATGTAGGACAACAATTGTGTTTAAGTCATTACAATACAGAAAAAGGTTATTTCAAACATATTTTCAAGTTTACCGACATTGAATATATTTTGATTAAATTACAGGGAAAATTCAATATTTGGCAGAGTTTGATGATTCATAGTCAGGGGCAGTAACTGTGAGTGGCCAAGTGTTGCGGTTCATTGACCCAGTTTGCAAGGACTGTGGTTGTGTTTAGTGGACAATATTCTGTCGATTTTTGTCTCATAATGATGAGGGACATGCCCCACAATGGTGAAAAGGAAGGTCGACAGGAAAGAGTCAATATTTGGCAGAGTGGACTTGAAGATTCGAAGTCGGGGCAGTTACAGTGGCAGTTATGGTGTAGACGTGTGGGATCATGCAATGATGAGCCACAAAAATAGTATACGGATATCAATACTAAACCTCCACTTCTATCTGTCGAGCTCCCTTTTCTTGTGTTTATTTCATGGCCACCAACTGTTTAAAACTTCTGTCGACAGAGCAAGGCTCCTGCTTTGTCTCATGCTTCCTCCTGAAAGTGTGCCCACTAACTCCATGACTGGTGGTAAAAACTTCCCCTATCACTTCTAGGTGACCCACATGCAGAGAGCCCACTTTCAGGTCGTGGACATTCCTTCAGACTTGGCCACATGCCCTCGATTAAGTGGACCATCTGTCGACAAAGACTGGCAAAACTTGGTGCAAACAATGGCCCCCATGTTCAAGTTAAATATTGCGGAAGTGATTGAGACCCCCCCAATCACCACCACCACCCCCCCCACACACACACCAAGGGGGCACCCCATGACCCTCTCTCTCTGATTGGCCAGTTTTTTAAAAAAAAAATTCTTTTTTTTTTTTCTTTTCCTCCAAATCACTAGCCCCACGTGTGTGTTATGTGGGTGGGGCAGGGGGTGCAAGTGGTGATTGGAGGGACGGGTCCCAATCACTTCCGCAAGTTAAATTCAATATGATATTTAACTGAACAAGGCATTCTTTGCACTGAAGTTTTGCCAGTTCTCGATCGACAGATGGTCACTTAATCAGGACCCGGTGGCCAAGTTTTGAAGGAATGGTCCACCACTTCAAAGGGGCTCTCTGCATGTGGGTCAACCTAGAAGTGATGGAGGGAGTTTTAGCACCAGTCATGGAGTTAGTGGGCACACGTTCAGGAGGAGCATAAGACAGGAACTGTGTACAAGTTAACAGCTAGGCCTAATACTAAGAAGGTCGACAATAGATGGTCTATAGTCGGAGCTTAGAGAGAGAGATCGATATCTATCTGAGATGCAATGCTAGTCTACCTCTGTGTACAACTGCACTTAAGAAACAAACTATCTGACAAAACTAAAACATTTAAGACCCAGTAATCCGATAAAAGTGCAGGTTACGATCTTCCGATAAGCTTCTGAAAGATCTTGTTTCTGTCAATCCGTATCACATGTTTTTTGTTAAGGGGCCCAATTGTCCGAATTCCCACAGATTAACAATTATGCCACTGTAATGACTCATATCTTGGGAATTACATGACTTCGAATTTCATAAGAATAGTGCTCCTTTAGCAAATATTGACTCTCGTCAAGACTTCCTTATTTACCATTGTGGGGCATGTTTCTTCCAAACAGTATGAAGTAAATAGTGAGAGCCACATTAAAGAAAAACATAATCATGGTAACAAAGTAGGAGCCCCTGATGGACAGAATTATCAAATGGTGCCAGAAGAATACACAAGAAATAAGGAGTAATCAATGAAGCTAGGTTATGGTAAGGAAAGCCTCGATTTGAAGGGAGAGAAGCGTGTTCGTTTCGATATCCGTAACATTTTGTGGTCCCACATTGCATTGGATCCCACACAGTCTACACCAACACTAGCCACCATTGTTAACTGCCCCCTGACTTCGAATTTCAAGTTCCACTTCTGCCAAATATTGACTCTCCCTGTCGGACCTTCCTTATTCCACCAGTGAGGGGCATGTACCTCTCATCATTATGAGACAAAATCGCACAGATATATGTCTCTAAAACACACACCACAAATCCTTGACAAACTGGGCCATTGAAACCAACAAACACCTTGGGCCACTCACTGTTACTACCCTGACTTTGAATCACAGACTCTATGCCAACTATTAATTTCCCCAGTAATTTTAATCAAAATATATTCAATGTCGGCGGGTAAACTTGAAATGTATGTTTGAAATAACCATTTTTTCCTGTAATTAATGACTTAAACACAATTGTGTGCCTACATTTTACGTAACTGAAAGATACCAACATCTTTACACAAAAAACAAATATACTCCTTGGGTTTGTAATCAAAAAAACCCGAACTACTTTTTTATTTTAAAAAAATTCACTCATATTTTCAGCTAAAATTATATTACGTATTAGATTTAAAAATTCCTCTTGCACCTATTTTTTCCCACATCCTCCCAACAGCCTTGCCCATTCAACTAACATTGAATCTACATGCCACCTGATTTCACGCTGGACCAGTACTGTAGTGCTCAGGATTTTAGTGGCCAGCTTCCAAGAGAGAACATGAACGAATTGGGAGTCTATACTGTGAGGACAAGCTAGTATAAGAACTAGGACACAGGTGGGCAACTTCAATTATTATGCACTCGACAGGGTACAAGTGAAGGTTTTATGTGGTTATGAAGACAACGGAAAATAACCATTGCAGTTACAGAATATAGTCACAGAACAGGTTGCAGAATCGGCAGATCATGGAGGTCTGTCGGAAATTAATAGCTATAAAGACAAAATGTTAACAGAGAGAAGAGACGAGAAATGAACACCAAACACAAACTTACTTTCTACCATTGCAATCTCTTTCATGGAAGTAGTTTTTTTCGCTTTGTCTATCTTTTCTACATATTGTTACACAAAAACAAGATTCACAACTACTTTGTACCATTTTACTTGTTACCATTCAGTTTCATCGAAGAACGTCTTCATCATTCTTCAAGGCCATTTGATACCAATACCACAATTCGCTTGATTTTCTTCTCTATCAACATAAGTCAACATTTAAATTACTGGCTTCAGTTAACCTGTCGAATACGACCCACCATAATTTTACTAACAAATATAAACTCATACATTCATTAAGTTAACATGATAATTAACTTACAATAACTATCTATCAGTAACTTGACAAAACATTTCATATAGCAAATTGGCATGGAGATATAAGGAGTAACGAGTTCTTGGCGTTACTTTTCCAAGTAACACCCAAATTAAACTGCGCACTTGGTCATATATTACAACAAAATGCATGATAGCTGGTATGTAATTTTGCAAACCCACAAATTGGACAAAATTCGTATTTTACTCAAAAATAAATACTAATTTACCGAAAACAAGTCATTCCAAATCAATACGGAAGCCAAACACATTGTTAGTTGATATAACCTCACCGCAAAAAACCCTTCAGTTAGATCCAACCAAATATGGAACACAAACAAGCAAACCCGCAATAGGAAATCTTGGAAATACAGACATAAAGCCCAATTTCCCACCCAAAAACAATACAGACAAA